ACACCTATCAGAAAACAACTACTCCCCTGGCTAATACCTCGAAGGGCGTTGGATTATATCCGACAGGCGTCAGTGCAGGAATCTTCACAGAAAATTTCCTGCATATGCAATTGGCAATACAACTGAAAGAGTCGACCTTCAATTTTGGAACGGGCACACTTGCAGACCGGTTTCGGGCTCATTAGCCACTCATCAGTCCATTCAACCTACTGTGTAGGTATATTCGAGACTGGCTTGAACGTTTAAAGTTTATTTCTTCAAATTTGTTCACTGCCAGTCTTCAAACATAGCCCACTGACTAATAAGAAAGTTTTCTTCCTTATTCGGGGGAATCGGGCAAATTACGGATATGCAGTTGGTTAGTACCTCGTCCACTAGATGGAGTGACATTTTGTTGTTCGCCTCAACTTAGGAAGAGGAGTGAAATACTCTGAAAGAATTCCGATTTTCAATTATGGGATATCATTGACTTTTGGTCGATGATGGCCACTATCTTACAGTGATGAGTGGCTAATGAGCCCGAAACCGATCTGCAAGTGTGCCCGTTCCAAAATTGAAGGTCGACTCTTTCAGTTGTATTGCCAGTTGCATATGCAGGAAATCTTCTGTGAAGATTCCTGCACTGACACCTGTCGGATATAATCCAACGCCCTTCGAGGTATTAGCCAGGGGAGTAGTTGTTTTCTGATAGGCGTCAGTCCATTCAACCTACTGTGTAGGTATATTCGAGACTGGCTTGAACGTTTAAAGTTCATTTCTTTAGATTTGATTACTGCCAGTCTTCAAACATAGCCCACTGACTAATAAGAAAGTTGTCTTTCTTATTCAGAGGAATTGGGCAAATTATGGATATGCAGTTGGTTAGTACCTCGTCCACTAGATGTAGTGACAATTTGTTGTTCGTCTCAACTTAGGAAGAGGAATGAAATACTCTGAAAGAGTCAATGATATTCCAATTATGGAATATCATTGACTTTAGGTCGATGATGGCCACTATCTTGCACTGATGAGTGGCTAATGAGCCCGAAACCGGTCTGCAAGTATGCCTGTTCCAAAATTGAAGTTCGTCTCTGACTAATAAGACAGTAGAGAATACTTGAAAGACATTTTATTAATAATCAATTATTATTAGGACGCATAAATAATTCATTAGAATGATAATTTACAAAACTTCATCTTTTTTGTCATACCTACTTATGTTATATCAATAAGGCCACAAGGTCAACTAAACATAACCAATCAGCCCACCATAGCATTGGTATCGATGCTGCAATGCATCAAAAAACGTTTTTCAAATTGAAGAAGATAATAAATTCTAATTTCCATTGTGTTCTACTGCATCCTTGATCGAAATTATTGGGCTTCACACATATTGCCATGAATTTAACTCCCTTTGGTACGTTTACATACAAAACGCTTGCAGTTAAAAGCACAAAATTCTTCGCAGAGGATATCTCGTTTGAGGCACTTTTCGATCGAGCACTTTGTCTTGAATATATAAATCAATTGATTCAAAACAATCTTCTTTTCTTCGAAAAATTGAATGTCTTTCTTTAATAATTCTTGATTCAAGAAGTAAGTCAATGTTTACCATATTCTTTGGATTAACAAGTATATAAAAGCTTTTATTCAATTTCTTACAATCGATCATTTGATAGAAAAAGATTGCCCAGTGTTTTCAGTTTATTAACCATGCTCTTCACGGCTAATACTTGACTTTTCATCTGCTACTGCGGCAGACATTATGAAATGCGATGCACAAACCATAAATGGTCCTCGTCCTGCTCTTGTGCCTGATTGGTCCGCCCATGGACGTTTCATTTTTTAAGTCCTTCTTCAATTATTGGAAGAATATATGAGTTATAAAGTGCCAGTATTTATATTTCTCGTTGATGTTCGAGCTCTCCCACTTAAGATTTGCCCTCTGAGATTGTGTTTTCTGCAACATTCATCTGTTTGGCCATAGCGGCAATTCAGTCAAGCGCGTTTTAATGATTCGTGGTTCCGATGTAGAACGAACCACAACTACAGGGTAGATATACGGTATAGGATAGACCGGGGACAATTGAAACATTTTTGCTTCTTGAATTTTTTTCTCTGCGGCTATCGCAAATTTCTCAATTATGACATGGGTAAAAGGGGGCATATTCAATCGGGTTTCTATTTACATCATTTTGTTCGCCTAAAATTATATGTAAATGAGATATAAAACAAAAACTGTAGCTCGTCAAACTGTTTCAATCGTCCCCTTGCCGGGGACGAATGAAACATATACATGGGACAATTGAAACAGCATTCAGATTAGAGAAATATTTATTCTAATACAAAATAAATTAGATTAATAATTAAAAATATTCATTCTGACAAGCAATTGTGA